TTGAAAGATACAATATGTGGAGAAATGAAAAATTGATTACAAATGAAAATTCTTTTGATAGAGGCCAATACTTATAGATGTATATAAATTTACATTATGACTTCCAATGAAATTCATACTTAGGAAATATCAAACTTTGATACCAGCTCATAAATATCATGTATGATTAAATTATCCGAGTACGGCCAAATTATTCAAATGAAAGATGATATATTAATAATTTGATCTTGTTTATGGATAACCATTTTCTATCTTTCTTTCTTATATTTCAGCTTCCTGCTAGTTATGCAAATTTGTTGATTCGGAAATATGAGAACAGGCAACAACCACGTGTGTCTGTGGAGCGCCACCTTCTCAGTTACCTTTCCTATAATTATTACCATTTAACAATGTATGCCAAACCTGGTATGATTTAGCTTATGACCATTTTTTAGGCCAACACTTGTTATTTTGTTTTTTTTTTTGTTTCTTGAATTCAGTAAAATAAATTCTTTAAAAAGACTTGTTTTTTATAACATAAATAAAGTTAATCATTTTTATCTGATTTCACATTGAAAAACTACTCATCAATCATACCTGGTAACAAAAAAATTACTCTGGATGTGTTCAGTTTGAAGATGTAACCATCACTATATATTTATTACATAAAAAATATTTTTAGTTAATAGAGAACATTCAATACATATAAATCTGAAAAAGATTGGGTACCATTGAATTCACAAAATATATTGCATATATGAGTATATCCTTAAACTTATACTAACATTGACTTATTAATACCAATATTATTCTGAAAACATTGACTTGCATAATAAAATCTGATATAGTGTAGTTGGTGCCTATAGAATTTTTCTGGGCTACCATAAATGTGGATTTGGTTTCTTTCTTCAAATGTCCTTTTCACAGCCATACCATCACATCTGTAATTTCTATTGTTTATCTCTTGAAATGTTCTGATTGTGCTACTTTTTGTTTCTCAATTTTACAGCAACTTGTATATTGTACATGATCTTGCATGGTCATCATGTCTCTTGATAGATGACATATCACAATTCTCAATCCTTATTCTGTCTTTCCTTTTCACATAATTTAGTTTTGCTCTTGTATTCCTTCGCTTGAAAAACCAGTTCCCGCATAATCACCAAAGTTAAGCAACATCAAGCCTGGTCAGTGGGTGACTGCTTGGGAATACCAGATGCTGTAAGCTTGGATTTGTGGATAAATCTGTCTAATAATGGCTTAGAATTGTTAATCATAGAGCTGAGTTCCAATTTTCAATTGCCGTTTCATAGTGGGCTGCAGGTGATTCAAACAAAATTCTTAGCTAAGCAATCCCCTAGAATCATATTTATCTGTTGTTCAAAAATGGAGTAAATGAAAAAGTAACAGCATCCAACGCATAATACAATTTATGGAGAACTAAGACCAATCTCTCTTAAGCTCAAACAAAAGTGATTGCAGTTTGCCAGCCACTGCCACCAAGCGAAGGTTGTCTCATCCTTACTTCTATGGCATCCTTCTGGAGGTGTTTTCTCATAAAAGTTGACATTCCCAGACACCATGAATCAGAACTCAGGGTTGGACATTGGGGATCTGGTGATGTCAATACAGGACTGAGCAGTGTGGAAAGGGATTGTTAATGGAGTTCTAACCAAACACAGGGAGGTTGAAGGTTGATGATGATGAACAGCATACCCAAATTCTGTCCACTATCTCAATTATACATTATTTAACAAAATTTTACTGTAAAAAGTTTTTTTTTCTATAATTTATTTCCAGCTGGTTAAATTCTAATAAAAGTGCATTTCCATTATTATTTCAAGCTAGTCTTATCTTCCATTTTATTTTGATGATTTTTATCATCAAAGCTGATATTATTTTACATTTTATTTTAGTAGGACAGTTATCAAGATTTTATTCAGCTGAGAGTTTTAGGTGGAAAAAGGCCACTAGCTTTTGAGTGCTTGGGAGATGTCCACTAAATCTGAGTAATGTTTGAAGATATTAGAAAATACTTTTTTTTAATCACTTCACCCCAAGCAAGGCAATAATATCACTAAGATACAAGGGGTTACTGGGAGAGAAAGGGAATGAGAAGACTTTAGAAGGAACCAGAAACCCAATCCTAAACACTACTCTTGTTCAAAAGACTGGAAAGGAGTGTGAACTGGAAGATGTAATAAACAACAGACCTACCCTAAATAGCAATTTTTTCAAACAAGGCCAATATGTTATTTATCTTATTTATATATGGACTATTGTTCTCATTTTTGCTGTCTTTATCACAGTGTTTCAATCATTGTGCTCTCTGACCTTCATCAAGTGCTTGTCAATTTGAATAACCTTGAGTGAATTTTGAACTGAACCCAATATGTCATGGCTGTCTTCAAAAACTAAGATAAACCTGAATTACAAATGAAAATACTACTACTCTCATACAACATAGCACAGGAAACAAAACAAAAATATACAAAAATCCTGTTACCACAAAAATGAACCCCACCTCTTTGAAAATGGTTAAAGTATTGGCAGAAAATGTTCTGGAAAATAAATACTATGAATAATTTTTCTACACACTTGCTCCTTAAAAAAGATAACTTGTAAGGACACAAGAAAAAATGTATAAAATGTATTCCTTGTCTTTCATATTCAACAAAATGTGCATAAATGAAGGATTGTTGCACAAATATACAATATTCTGATTTGAGAAATTGGCCTTGTTGTTGAGTTGGGATTTTCAGATATTTATTGTTGGATGGCAAAAACAGAAAAAAAAACAAGTTACATCAACAAGTAACAACCAAAAAAATTATCTACATACATGATGCTCTTTAGATTTTTAAAGACAAATGTATTAAAGTTTGTTTGTGAATGTACCTTTCTTTTGTGTGTAAGGAAGAAAATATATTTTTACATTGATTTACCAAAGCTTGAAGTAGGTTAACTTGATTTGAAAGTAATAAAGAGAAGGGTACAATAAAAGTCAAATTGAAAAAGTACTTTCTCTCTGTTACACAGCTATGATTTAAAGCAGTTTTATTTGATTTCAAGTTTCTCATTGCCATAGTAATAAGAGGTGCACATAGGCTCTGGCAAAATGGTGTACTGGTTGGACTATCTGGCTAACTTTGGGCTTACTATGACATTAAATGTCCTTCTTATAAGATTGGCTTCCATAAATTGGCTCATACACATGTGCTTATTTAATTTATTTTTAAAGTTTTCATTAGCTGAAAAACATTTTTTTTTAAATAATGTTGAACTGATTTTGTTGAATATTGTGTTTTGAGCTAGAAATGATTTTCTGATGGGCCAACAAAATCTTGTCTACAATATAGTTGAAAGTACTTGAACAAAAATATGAATTTTGGTCACTTTATCCATATATTTGATTTGGATGTATAGCACCTTATTCAAAAATCAGAAAAATACAAATAAAAATATTAAATAGATGTCCTTTGACAAAACTTGTTTACATTATATATATATATATATATATATATATATATATATGTATGTATGTGTGTGTATTTAGGCAGTATGTCTTCATTCAGACATGTTGCATTGAATAATATAGACATATTGTGTCTATTTATTTTTATACTGATCCTTTCCAGCTGTCTAAATCAGTTTCTTGATGTTAAGATGAAATTCATCAAGCAAGGCGCCACAGTTTTTTTCTAACCCAAGTGCTTTCAATCTTTTCCAAGATCATCTTCAGGGGTAAATTACAAAGACAAGATTTTAAAAATTATAGTTATGTGAAATTTTCCATTGTAGTTATGAAATTTCTTGCAAAACAAGCAAGCATTTCTCTCTCTCTCTCTCTCTCTCTCTCTATATATATATATATATATATATATATATATATATATATATAGTTTATGCAAATTTAGGTAATCCGTATGGGTAGACCTGAGGAGGATGATATCCAGAGAGCTCAATGTAAAATTCAGAGCAGATATGTTTGAATAAAAAAGACAGACCACGTTAAGATTCCATGTAACAGAATCTTAACGTGGTCTGTCTTTTTTATTCAAAAATATATATATATATATATATATATATATATATATATATATAGAGAGAGAGAGAGAGAGAGAGAGAGAGAGAAAATTGTCCATGAAAAGCTTGGATATCATAGTGTCATTGCATTGGGTTCTAAAGCAATTGATTGAAGAACATGAATTTCAGTGTAAAAGAATTGCTCCAGTGATGAGATGGTTGGAATGTTTTACTGCATACATTGTATTGTTCTTTGTTCTATCAGATTATCATCTGCTTAAGCCCCTTAAATAACATTTGTCTGGGAAGCAGTTCCACACACATGATGCTGTTGTTGCATAGATGTTAGTGTACAAGATGCCATATATTTTGAGGAAAGTATTTATGTCCTAATGTGCGTGACAATTAAATTAATCTTGATAGCAACTATGTTAAAAGTTGAATAGTCATAGTAACCTATTCAACTTTGGTACTTGTTTTTTTTTCTGTTTGTAGACGATTGGGAACTAATATGACTTATTGCCCACCATTTATTACAATTTTCAGTAAGCTTATATTTAGTGTCTGCCACTCATTAGTTGGTGACCCCAGAATTATGTTATCCTTTCACCTCTGTTTTGGTTGTCCTCTACTTCTTTTTACAGGCACCATACCTGAAAGACACAATTTAACAATCCGTGCACTAGATTTTTTAATATATCTAGATTTCAAAGAATTGCTACAGACATGATCAATTGATTGATTCATTTTCTATGACTTATCAACTCTTTCTAGTTTATTTAAAGCCAGAAAATAGTTTTAAATTGTGAGAATTCTTTTGAGATAATAATGGTTTTAGTGATACAAGCCTTACTAATTAATCCATAGCTGGGAAAAGAAGAGGAGGTTTTATATTTTTCCCAAGGTTATTTACACGTAAGTGAATATAACAAATCCAACAGGTATTGGAACTCAGCAATCCAATTATTATCCATTACACCACTTGCATGTCCAAGCTTACAGCACCTGGTATTCCCAAGTGGTCACCCACCAAGGTACTGTCTAGGCTTGACATTGCTTAACTTTGGTGATCATATGGGAACTGGTATTTCAATGTGATGTGGCCATAAGCTGGATATGATTGAAAAGTGTAGGCAAATTGGTTACATTTCTAAGAGTGCTTATTTTCAATTTGTCTATCAGTTTGTGATCTCTTATGATGCACATCATATGGTTTTGAAATGTTTTAATTTGAGCTGAAAGTATTTCAGTCCATATCACACAATCTGAACCATAGAAAACAACTCATTTCAGTATAGCTTTGTTTTCCAAAAGTAGTCCAGCCAAAGCTTATTTGATGTTTTACAGAAACCCCTTGGTCATTCTTGCAAGTAATAAACACAATGAATTAATAAATGTTTGTAACTTAATTTTCAGACATCCTTTGTATTAAGTCTTACATTTTTTAATAGCGAACCAAACACTAAAAGCTTCTTTTCTTGCAAATCAAGAAAAATATTAACAAATAAAGTTAAATTCTATATATTTGTGTGTGTGTGGGGGAGGTTACCCTACCTTGTCTGCCAGAACATCTACTAGGGAGTATTCTATTCAAGACTATAAAAGGAATAGACATAAATTCTCTTCCTCCCTTTTTTGCTCCATGATGTAGTGACAACATCAGGACTTGTCTTTGGTGAAGGAGATTTCTCTTTTCCCTTGCAAACCTACAAGATAATTTCCAAGAAGTTACATGGCACATCACACACACACACATCATTTTCTAATATCAAATCCTATAAATGTTTTTCTTTCTTTTTCAGCTGTGTTTTTCTTTTTTCTTGAATTCTGTTATTCTTTATATAAAAATATATATGTAAAATTTGTTTGCATGTTGAAATCCATTTCTTTTGAAAATGTTGAATTTATTTATTCTGAATGTCCTTATGAGTAATAAATAGTAATTCCTCCCTGCTACAAACTGGTGACACACATCTACCTTTGTCCAATACAAATTGTAGGACTATTTGCTATATATTAATACTTTATTATTGACCAACCATCCTAAATTCTCTAAAATAAAGGTTCATATAGTTTAAAATATTAAATGAGGAAAGGAGTAGTAAAACTCAAGACAGCAAGACTGTCTTTCTTTCTTTCAGCTCTATCCCTTCTGGCCAGATGTGAACGCTAAGAAAGCATAACACAAAATAAAAAAAAAAGTTGTTTTCTGAGCATGGGCTCTGCACATCACATCCAGTCCACAAAACAAATTCCTGTAATATAGTTAATCACAAACATTCCTGCCAAAAAAGTTGATCCTGGAGACCATCATATTTGCTTAAAAGAAAGCCCCATTATAATGACCAACATAGTAGCAGGCTGAAAAGGCCACCTGTTGGCATGCATGTGTGCTGTCACCATCACTGCCATGATCGCTTCTCTCATCACAACTGTGATCTTGCCCAAGCTCTACTAATCTCACCTGACTCTTCAAACACAGAATGCGGCTGATGGGCCAGCTTCAACACCACAAGGCTCCCAATACCACCACTATGATTTCTAACACCTCAACATCTTCACTATCCAGCTCCAAGCCTCCCTTGTCATCACTGTGACCCTGTTTCAAAGATACCACATTCAACCAGAATCTAACATTCTGCTCGATCAAACTTCGTTATGCACTCCAGGCCTTCTTCACAGCCAACATCATAACCTTGCCAATCAACCTACCACTGTGACCTCAATCAATCAACCCATGCAGTTCAACATCTCAGTATCACACAAACGCCAGCCTATCAAACACCTCACAGATGTTGATTTCAGAAAAATGAAAGGCACATATCAACTGCCACCAATGACTGTGATCAACAAATCCAAGAAATCGGTCAACTACCAGCCCTGATAGATGGATAAACCCAGCCAATGACACCCCATTTGGGCTACCACATGGCTTCACTAATCCACTTCAAGCCTTTTTCCTGAAACCAACCATGATTTTGTTTGACCAACCCAAAGAAATTGGTCAACTCCTAATTGCTTTCCTTACCAATGGCAAGTAAAGAACCACACATGACCATACATTTTGCCACCTTTCAAACAACTATGTATATATTCTGGAATTTGACAAATACCTGCTGTTGAAATTTTAATCCTTGTTTGTTCCTTTCCTTTGCAACCATATACTTGTTATAACGCTTTCTTATTTACTTACTGTTATATTCCATGCTAATAGGAATATATACTTGAAAAACACAGTGGATAAAATAAGTAAAGGTTTATTGTACAAAACCAGTACAATAAGAATAAAGGTAACAGTTATGCACAAGGTCGTTGCAAGTCAATCCAGTAGTGAGTGCTATTGGATGGTCGGTAGTTCTCGCATTTGTACTCAATAGATGCCAGCTAGAGTAATTAGCAACTACCCCACATAGTCACATGTGGCACAAGGCCGAAATTAATGTGGGGTTCCCTAGCCCATAGGCTCAGCCAAAAAATCCCCGTAGACCCTGCATAAACATGATTGGGTCTGTCTACCTCCCCGAACGAGACACTGCCTTTCAGCATAGCCTCGTCCAGGTTCCTCTCTGCCTTCAGGCAGAGAGTTCAACAGTATAGCTGAAAAAGATTTCAGCTAGACTCCGTAGTCCATTGACTTACAGATACTTATAAGTAGTTACTACCTATAGTGTAGTCACTCATTAGGGTGACAGATTATTCCATTACATCACTTACCCTCTACCTCTTCTCCTTTATGCCTTCTTTCCAATTTCCTTGCTTTTACCAATGACAATAAATGCTATACAATTTCCTCACAGATGAAGAAGAAACTTGAAATAATAGAGATATGGTTCTACTGACAAATGATGAGAATACCATAGAAAGGATACATGAGCAATGAGGAAGTCTTAAGGAAAATAGGAAGAAAGCAAACTTATACTCACAATCAAAAAGAGACAGTTGAAATTTATGGATATAATGAGGAAAGGGGGCCTAGAGAAGTTAACACACACACACACATGGCATACTGAAGGCAAGATAATCAAGAGAAACAGCAAGTAACCTACTTACTGAGTTTGTGTGAATGGATGGTAGAAACAAAGAGGGACGGTAAAGAGTCAAAAGTAAAAAGTAACAAAGGACGGGAAGTTGTGGAAAGCCATAATCACCGATGTCCTTAAAGAACTTGGGCAATCAAAAGATGTTTTATTGAAAGGAACATGTAGGCAAATGCCGATAAATCCCATCATTTTTGACGGGTACTAAGCTAGTTTAAAAAGAAATTCTAAGGAGCCCCTTAAAAACTACTCTGAGTGAAAAAAAAAAAAAAACTGTCACACTTAAAAAGGTAACACACTTCTTAAATAAATTACTGAATGGATGGTTTATTTTCTGGGTCAGATTCAGACAATGAATAAATAAATGCCATACATTCATTTGTACGTTGGATGCTTTGAAAATGTAATCTAGTTGTTAAAAAGACTTAAAACATATTGCCATAGATGATCTAAGTAAAAGTAGTAACTACGAATACCTTTTTTTTTAATAATAACAATAACATCATTACATTTTTAAATTCTTACTTTTTTCATCTTATTTATTTATGTTTACGTTTTAAAGTTTTAAATGCAACTTTCATTCCATGACCGTTCAGAAATTAAAATTCAACATCTGATTTACACCGCTTTAGCTTTTTTAGTGTTTTCAGTTTTAAAGAAAGTATTGCGATAAAAAATAATAAAAACAGAAATATGAAAAATTTATCAAAATTAATAATTTGACTGTCAATGCTACACCTAAGAAATCTTTATTATTTTTTTTACTTTTACAGCAGTTATTTCTTTATTTATAAATTTTAAAATTAATAAATTAAATAAAATTAATAAATTAAAAATAACATATATGACGATAAAGGAGCTGCAATAAAAAGCAAGAGAAATAAGAAAATGAAAAAAAAGTAAACAAAGAAAAACGCTTGTTAAAATTAATTTCACTCAGACAGTCAGGAAAGATTTAAAAATATAATAGTTTTTTGTTTGACTCTGTTCGCTTGGTTGCCGTTATTTTAAGCTAATCCATGAAAAGAACTTTCTTTGCGTGTTCAAATCATGTCGAGGTGATCAAGGCATTTTGAAGCGGGTTCGTACGTCCCAGCAAGTGAAGAAATCTGACGAGACAAATTATCTACTGAGGCAAATAAAAAACTGAAAGACAAATAAACAGACATTGTGATCAAACTCAAACAAAAGAATTCTACAATTATTTTTACAACATTCACAATCAATGAATAAAGTAACGAAATTTGAATTAAATTTATAGTGACGTCATCAAAGAGTTACGGTGTGTATCGTTGTGCATTACAATTCAGTAGCAAATTTGGCAATGGGAGAAAGTATTTTCGTCCCATGAAGGTGTGTGTATGAATGAGAATGTCGATTTCAATGAGTTCATATGTAAGTTCAGAGCATCGAAAATAGTAGTAAATAAAACTACTTGAATTCACGCTCGTATTGTTGAAGAAGAGAAGAATGTTCAGTTTAACATTGTTTGGCTAACGGACGAGCTCTATGAAATTTGAGTAATCAGATTCAAAGATAATATATTACCTTTTCTAATTTCTCCTGCTTACTGAAGTTTTTCGATTGAATTCTAGGCAATGAATGGGTGAATTAAATTGAGATCCAATGTGTTCAATATAGTAATTTCAATGTAAAAACAGTTAAAACAGACGTCCTCAAAGGTGAGCAAGTTTCTTCCAATTTGTTTCCATTCTCCACAAGTAGCCAATTCATACTTTATTACTAATATAATAAAAAGACATTTTTTTCTCCTGGGAAGGAATGGTAAAAGAGAGAACGTCACCTTTCTCATCCTGAATACTAAAAAAAGGTGCATACAAAAACAAACAAGTCTCAAAACTCCTATGTAAAATTTGAAAGGAACAAACATTTATTACAAGACATTAAAACAATATAACAAAATACAATTTTTACAAAAAAGGCTTGTACAAAAATTAACTTTAACAGATCAAAATATATAAAGGATCTTAAAAAGATTTACAATTCAGTTTTTGAATGATAGAAAAAAAAAACATGAGAAGGTAATACCAAAACTTTAAATGTTGAAAAT